CCACGAGATAATTACTGGATTCTCCTCATTCGGGCCCTTGAGGAGGGGATCCTCAGGACTTTTTTCCCTCACGTGTCCTTACCGATGGAACACCGGGACGATGGAGAAAATAATTTGTAAGCCTCTTATTTTCGTCGATACAGACGTGTCTGAAGGCTAGTGCCTGTGCTTGACGTCGATTAATCACCCTCCTACAATTTCTGCCGTGTGCTGTTGTCAAATGACGTGACGCTGACTCCGTACAAACCACAATTTCGCCTATCATATTAGCGCGGGTAAGTGAAAGATATCCGCTTGAAGGCTGTCTGTGATTTTATTTATTCCCCCCTTTTTTATTATTTATTTTTTTCGTGTCACTATTTGCGTTCGAATCAACCTACAACCGGTCAACTGTGGTCGCCTGCGACCAACGATCCTGGGGTGACTTGCAGGATGAGCCTGAGATATTGTGTTTATACGCATCAATGGAGGGAACCCTGCATACTCAGCAAAAATCGCACGTTCATTCTAGTTTTGCGATACTGAGAATAATCACGGGAGGATTGTTTGTTTTTGGCGAGAGTGGGGGGAGCGGAATAATGTCAACATTTTGATGTGTCAACGTCTTATTGACGGCCTGGACACGAAGTAATGACATGGAAATCATAGACTACATTTTGTGACTGGTAACCACCTACACGGAGAGAAATTTTTTATAAAAATTATCCTACCGTTCTATAAAAGTGTATCATGAGCCATCGTTTCCGCATTTTTATCCCAAAATTTAGTAAAAATTGATATATGGTGATCAAATTTTATTCTACGTTAGAGAAAGTTTATCCCCACGCATAATAAATTTTAACCTTCCAGTCCAATAATTTTTATATAGATACCAACGAAAATTCTAGAACGGTTGAAAAAAACCTAAATATGACACTGGCTCCGGCTGAAAAAAAAAAAATTTATTTTTACATTTCTGGGGCATTTGAGGGCTTCGGTGGGATTTGACGGGCCAAAAAATACAGAATCAATGTTCACTCGGCGGAAAAATTCGATTTTGCCGAAAGACGACTTCCCCCCTCCCGAAAAAAGCCTAAATATGACACTTTGGCTCCGGGTGAAAAAAAAAAAAAATTTATTTCTGCATTTCTGAGACATCTGAGGGCTTCAGTGGCATTAGACGGGCTAGCAAATACAGAATCAACGTTCACTTGGCGGAAAAATTCGATTTTGCCGAAAGACGACTTCCCCCCTCCCGAAAAAAGCCTAAATATGACACTTTGGCTCCGGGTGAAAAAAAAAAAAAATTTATTTCTGCATTTCTGAGACATCTGAGGGCTTCAGTGGCATTAGACGGGCTAAAAAATACAGAATCAACGTTCACTCGGCGGAAAAATTCGATTTTGCCGAAAGACGACTTCCCCCCTCCCGAAAAAAGCCTAAATATGACACTTTGGCTCCGGGTGAAAAAAAAAAANACGGGCTAAAAAATACAGAATCAACGTTCACTCGGCGGAAAAATTCGCCGTGTGATGCCGTGTAAGTCATGGCTTTTTTTAAGACTGTATTCTCTGATGTAAAATCACAGCTTCAGAACACTCAGTGGAATGAACGCGGACGAATTCAAGACCCACTAAACCATCTATTTTTGGGAGAACTGCCACGCGACCTGCTGAGCATGAAATCCATCTCCTCGCGTGTCATTTTTTCAAAAAGTCCGTAACAAAAAAAAATGAATGGAAATTCCTGCCTACGCGGACAGACAAAAGGTAATTGTAGGACACGTATAGATAACAACCCAAGATGGGAATGAAGATTGATGACAATAAAAATTCTTTATGAAGGTATCTCATTTCCGCGTGCAGAAGTCCGTCATCTTCATGGTGTACGGTGTATCACATACCCTATATCGGTATTAACTATCACAAGTTGAAAAAAAAATGAACAAGTTGGAGTGTAGAAGACAGGATGTGGAGGGAGTCGCCGGGATTTTAGATTCCGTTTTGCCAACCGGCTGCTCTACGACAGGGAGTTATGATATCGGTGGCGATCGGCCATGCCGAGTGAAAGCACTAGTGGCGTGAGTAATATAGAACCACTTCGGTGATCTTTTATATGGAGTCCCTTCAAAGTATTACGAGTCTCAAGCGAGTTAGAATGATCCAACGATGGGTACGTATACGTCTCGGGTATGAGATTGTATCGATGCTCTCTCTCTTGTGGGCAAGAAGGCCCCGAATGAAAATAAGAAATAGAGATGAAGAGGAGGTAGGGGTCAAGGCGAGGCGATCCCGGAGCAGTCAGCGTCCTGAGTCGTAAATAAACCACTGCTACCAGTGCCAATCCAGTGGGTCGGCATTGCACGTTTCCGGTGTGGAGTTGAGCCACTGTGTATATGCGGTGAGGAATTTCCATCCAGTGATGAAAAGTAAATTGTTACATCTTCCATTACATTTTTGCCGGAATTTTTCCTTCAGAAAATAATCTCACTTCAATTTCCGATCGATGGGCAATCGGTTTGTTGCGAAGACTTGCTACTGTTTTTGGTTTAAACTTAAAAAAAAGACTGCGTGAGGAAAATGCATGAACGATGGCTCGAAGAATTGGTTCATTCTCTAGGAAGTGGATGGAACAAGTTGAAGGCAATATGAAGAGGATAAATCATTTTAAGAAGTGTTCAAAAATGCGAGGTGGTTGACGGGCGCGGGCGCAGCCATTTTGTTTGGACACTCCCGCCCAAGATGGCGGCGCCTCCGCCTCGAATTTTTAGAAATCTTGTGATAATTTACGTTTATTTAGGTGATTGATATTTTATTTCGTGAAATAAGATGAATTGAACATTATATAATTTACCTTAATTATTTATTTGAAGCCCTATGGGGCTAGCGCACTGCGGTAGTGGGCAGGCTTAGCTTAGCAGGGAAGCTAAGCAGCGCTGAGCGTGGTCACTAGATGGATGGGTGACCGCGCGGGAACACCTCAGGAAAGAAACATTGTTTGGAAAAACTGGAAAGAGCATTTGGGAAAAACAAATATGCGGAAAAACTGGATGAAGCAATAAGAAACCGTAAAAACCGAAAGGTATACGGGAAATGGAATAAAAAAAAATTATTTATTTGAATATTGCAAATGAGGAGGTCAATATTCTAGTCCGTTTTTGATACTTCTCAAATACAGTCTTATTTTGTATTTTTATACGACGCAATTTCAGTATAAAAATTTATATTCTTTAAGTCTTAACGGGAGAAACTATTATGTGAATTGATAAATAAATATAATTTGCTCGATGCTTCCAAATACAATTAAATTGACAAATATGAAGAGTAATGAGTGAACAAATCGCGCACGGTAAAGGTCGGGAAGCAAGAGAGCAAGTTCAGTGGAATAAGGTGTGAAGTGACTTGCCGAATCACGAGCGCTACATTTAGAAAAATAAATAAATTCCTTCACTCGTCCTGATCAATTGACGCGGGACATTCAAAGGACAATTGAACCATTACAATCTCGTCAAATTATTTATCCTTTTTATATTGGACACGCAAAGAGTAGCCCCTGCCCATCCCTAGTTTAGACAAATTGACCTGACGAATACTAAATCACACCTGCTCCGGGACATTATCTGGAACGGGTTATGGGCAATTCGTTCAGCACTTTCAGATATGGAAAAGGATCTGCAGCTGGTCTTTTTCCAGATTGGCACCTTCCTCTGTCCTGGTGGGCCAGATTATCAGGCGGAACCTCCTGGATTCATTAAATACTGGGGGATTATACGTTTCCACCGTCCGAAGTGCTCGCTACAATCCTAAACCGGGATCATTATTTTGCATCGGGGCTGTATTAGGAACTGGAAGCCAGCGCGATTTGAATGATTGGACGGTGCGTTCGACTATGCAATAACAGTTTTGCTGGACCGAGGTTAATTGTCCCGTGAAACACGCATCTGGTCGTTGGTCTGAAAAAAAATCGAAAGTTTCACGAAATTCTCGACGATTTTGGTGGTGTGGACACTATCATTTTGTCCTGTGGCTGTTGGTTATGAACACGAGGAGTCGAGGATAATTTCCAGGAGATTTCGTAAGCTCGACACGCAATGAAGGGGATTCTGCTGAATGTTTTATATTGTTGAATAATCAATTGGGACTAGCATAACAATTTATAGAAAATTACTTCTCCTCAACTTCTCCCAGCTGTAACGGTCACCCATGCCGTTTACGTGAATTTATTCACAAGAAAGTGTTACAAATTTATCGAAAATTAGTTGTAATCGCGGGTCCTCATCATCTGCAATCTCATCCTTCAAGCGAATAGGTTGAATTTAATCAATTGGATACTCGAGATTTTGGTTTTGAAAGCGAAGGCGAATGGGCAATCTTTAGGTCCTGCGGACGAAGGTAAGGATAATTCTTCAACTCGTAGATCCTCGCAGCCTCCTCAGCGGTTATCGCTGAAAATGGAAAATTAATCCTTCGCGGAAATGAGGAATAACTTTGTGTGAGTCATTACTTCTCGGCTTTCGGGAGAGCAGTTCCGATGATTTCGGGGATTTCGCTGGGGCCTCTTCATTAATACCGAAGAGGAGTTTATGCAGAGCCTGGCTGACACCTAAAAATCAATGAGGTGTTGGAGCTGATGGAGGCGAGAAGAATTAATCGACTCACGATGCTTCAGGGGTGGGGTACTGCGGTTCGTTGGCTCCATTTCCTGGTGGATACTGCGTTCTACGTCAATAGTCATCACCCTTCTTTGGTTTTTGTCCGTTAGCGACTTCCGCCCTTCGTTCCAGTTTGGCGATGCCCAGGGGTGATTGTCAGACGGTTTCTCCGGAGGCTTTTGGCGATTTTTCGGGCGATCTGGAGGACAAATTGGGGGAGGATTAATTGTCTTGTGAATTGGTTGATTTTCAGTTTTCTTTTTGAATAACAATCGAAAATTTTGCAGATTCCGGAGGTGCAGCAATTTTTTATTCATTTTTGGTCAGATTTTGAGAGGAAATATTGTACATGAAGTGGAGTTCGTATTTATTATTCGTGTTTGTGCTCGGAATACGATGAATTTTCTCTGGTCAGTGGACTCCCATGAGGCGTCTGCCATTTCTCGAAGTATTCTCTTTTGAAGGGATAGGGATCTCCCGGAATCCTGACGTAATCATCAAAATCCTTCATCTTCGGCTCGACACTCTCCTCTTCAGTCATCTTCAGACCGCTCCCCTCCGCGATCTTCTGGATGCCCTCGATGTCCTCATGTACTTCTTCGGATTCTGCTGCGTCCAGATGCTCTGCAACTTCAGCATCACCTGCTTGATTCTCCAACCCCTCCTCGGAGCCCTCAACACCATCAGCGATGCTCACGGGGAGGAACTGCGTCTCCCCCTCGTCGTCAAACTTCCCGGGGCCTCCCATCGACAGACATAGGAAGAACAAACTCAACGTATGAAACTTCTTAGAATCCACGCGGTGCGGCATATTCTTGACATCGAGCATCGCCTCACTTGGGTTCACGTACTCCTGAAGCTTCGAGTCCAGAGGCTTGATCACGGCTACGTCCAGCTTGGGCGCAGGTGCCTCGGGAAGAATCGAGAACTTCTCTTCGTGCATCTTCTTCTCTGCTTCAAACTTCTTCATCTTCTCGGCCAGCGCCATCTCCTCCACCCGAAGCTTCGTCCGGGCCATCACCTCCTGCCAGGCAGCAATTTCGTCCTCGACGTCTTCAGTAGGTGATCTCTCGTCGATCCACAGATGTCCCGAGTCAGCTTTCACTTCTTTCACTTCTTTCGCTTCTCCCAATGCCATCGGCGATTCTGATTCTTCCTTCGGCTTCAGAGGTTCTAGTTCATCGTCAATTGGAGGCACAATGGAGATCCCCGGGTCGATGATCGGTGGTGGACTCTCGTGTCTCATCTCAACTTTGTGCCTCTCTATGGAATCCATGAACTGCCTCTCCAGCATTGAAGTCAGGTCCGATGACTTCATCTCGCGTTGCGGAATCTGCGGGAGGAATCGTCTTGATTGCCTTTTTTTAGCCTTAATCGGCTCGTACAAATTCACACCCCATTTCTGCTTGAGGACGTAGTTGGGCGTGTGCTCCTCGGTGACTTCCTTCTCGATGGAGCTGTCCGAGATGCTGACACCCCACTCCTTTCGGAAGCCAGCGTCCTCGTTCTTCGGGGGTATGTTTATGTATTTTATTCGCTCGAAGATCTTTTCCTCGAGCTTGTCCTTCGGGGGCTTCTCCGGGACATTTTCAGGGGTTTTTGCGGTTGACTCGAAACCCATTAGGGTTCTTCTTTGATGGTCGATTATATTCTCTAGAATAGTGACAACAACATAGATTCTGCAGCGGGTTGAGGTTAGGATGATTACCTGATGCACCTGAGAAGATGCTCTTGATCCTTGAGAATAGGCCAGTCTTTTGGCCCTCCAGACGTCCGCAGGTCGTGGAGAAGGTGCTCCTCGTCAGGGGACACCAGGTTCGGAGATTTGGGGAGGGGGGGACTAAATATCTGAGGGCACTCATCTTGGGGAAATTTTTTTTCCAGTCACTCGGGCAATTTTGGGACGGTAGGGAGGAGTCAGGTGACAGGGAGGTACTTCAGGCTCCCAGAGGCTTTCTATTGTTTTCTCGTAATGAGGAAAATTCCGGTGCTCTCTTTATCACGCGCTTTGACGTATGCCATCTCGTCAGTGGTCTTAACTTCGGTTAATCATTGCCGGAAGTTTTATTCCCCCGGGGGTTTCGGGCCGAGGGTCACTGTAATGGCATAATGGATACTCTTTCACCCCCAAAAATCGATGGGAAAAGTTTCATAAAGTGTCATTCCAGGTTGCGGGAGGCGGTAAAACAATATCATGAATTTTTCTTCATTCAATTTTTATTCAACATTTTTTTAATTGCATGGTTTCTTTGTTTTTTGACAATTCTATGAATTTTTTTATTCACAGTTGCTGTGGGCACGAGACACCAACAGATTTTTTCCACACAATTTCGTTTTGAGCATATTTTAATTAATTGAAATAATTTAATTAGTTTTAGTCAACATTTTGTTGTAATTGCAGGATTTATTTTTGAAAATTCTATAAAATTTTATTATTTACATTTGCTATTGACACGAGACGCCAACAGATTTTTGCAAAACCATTTCGTTTTGAGCATATTTGAATTAATTAAAATAATTTAATTAACTTTAGTCAACATTTTGTTTTAATTGCAGGATTTTTTTTTTGAAAATTCAATGGAATTTTATTATTTACATTTGCTATTGACACGAGACGCCAACAGATTTTTGCAAAACCATTTCGTTTTGAGCATATTTTAATTAATTAAAATAATTTAATTAACTTTAGTCAACATTTTGTTTTAATTGCAGGATTTTCTTGTTTTGAAAATTCTATGGAATTTTATTATTTACATCTGGTAATGACACGAGACACCAACAGATTTTTTCCAAACAATTTCGTTTTGAGCATATATGAGGGAAATTCCCTGAAGGACCTGGGGTGACTGAGAATAAAATGCTCGTGAAAATATCTCAGAGTGAAAATGGATCGTGGTCATTCGTGCCACGTAGGCTGATAACCGTTGGATAAATGTTTAAGGAAACGTTATCGTAAGAATTCTGGGGGACATTAAAAAAAACACACGTGCCTCTAACGGTGGTAACTCGATGCAATTTTAAAAGGGCTATTTCCCTCCCTTTCCAATTGGTCTCGAGAAGAAAAAAAGCATATAATGGGGGTTGGGGTGACACATGTCCCCGATGCCGTGTGGATCCCCAACGGCGAGTGCTTTTGGAATACCAATGGAGGTGGCAAGGCTATTCTTGAGGAATGAATGTTTATGTGTTTGGACACTTGGTGAATTATAGACTCCGACGGATCATCGTCGTCATAATAATTCATTATTTGTCATGGAATTTTTTTTCTTTTCATTTTTTTTTTCATTTGTTGATAACGAATTTATCAATACCATGAGATTTAAAGATCCCCTGAAGGCAAACAGGAGTTAAATACTGAATTCTTAATTAATAATTACAGTCACAAGTTCATGTGTATTAAAATAGTAGTCATATTATGTAGGAAAGTTTTTTGAATGGTATTCCATTCAGTTCATTCATTTGTTTAGTCAGTTAGAATTTTATTGAATTTGTCTGTTCACAATTATTTTCTCTATTTTTGTAATTTTTTTTCGAATTTTCAATCATCTAAGTCTCCACATTTCCAATATTTCTAAAGATCTCTAAAAATATACACTGAGAGAAATACAAATACGTTGTCAAACAAGTCTTGCGTTGGCCAACAAAATCACTAGTTGAAAATGGTCAAAAAAAAATTTGTTTGGGTCGAATTTGAAAGTCTCAAACATGAATAAAATATGCAATTTTTTTTTAACTACTAAATCTATTTTTGCGACAAAAAATTTTCATTCCGGCGCACTCTCTGCATGTTTGTCACAAAAAATCCTTTTTTGATAATTTTCAAAAAACTGCTTTCTTGGCACAAGTAAGAATTGTTTGAGAACTTTGTCATTTTTCTCTCAGTGTATGTTTGCTGCGAGAGCATGCTAAACAGACATTATTTGCTTTTTCTGTTCAATCAAACATTCGAAGAGACACCTTTAAATGAGGGTCAGTGACACGTTAAAAAAATTTCACAACCCCAGTAAAGACATAAATTTGGAACTCCCCAGTGTCAAATATCAGGTTTATGCCCATGCCAATTGTATAAATTGCCTATGACAAAGTAATCGTCCCCTCCTCGGTCACACTCCCACCCCCATGGGTCCATCCACCACTGGGCCCACATATTTTCCCATGCCCGAGGGATGCCTCGGCACGAGCCAACGCTGGGGAAACACGAGCTGAAAAAAAATCTATATACAAGCAACATAGGGACACACGACACTGAGTTGCAGGTGCGTGCCTCCTTCCTCTCCGCTCCAATGTTTCTGTTTCAGTCCGGTGAGATATTTTCCCCGGGAATCGTGATCGTTTGAGACATCGTTCCCGCGAGGCCAAACGGGTAAGAACGTGACGTTTCCACCTTTTACCTCCGTAACACAGTGTCACGTATCCACGTCGTTTTCTTTTCTGGTATGAACAAATGCGCTCCCCTCCCCCCCACCGCCTGTTATTTCTTGCGCTCCTGACGCGTCAAAACAAGAGGTCTCGTGATTTACGAAGTTATCGCGAGGGAAAATTATTTGTCTTTATTTGTTAACGGGGAGACAGGTCTATCAAGTTCCACTCAACAATTTTTTTTAGAGAATTATATTTTTTGTAAAAAATATGAATTTTAAAAAATATTGACTCTCCATGTAAAAATGGAATAAAAATCTTCTACTCACGGTTTTTTTTTGTAGAGAACACAATTAAAAAAATAGAAAAAAAATCTCATGTTCACGAAATATTATTGGGAAACATGAGATGTATATTGTATGTAGATAAAATATCAATTAAAAAATATAATCCTTCATTCCCATTACCCCAGCGACGATCAATTTTTTTTCACATGGGGCCAAAGTGTCAGATCTAGGATTTTTCCAGGGGGAAACTCGACTTTCGGCAAAATCCAAGTTTTTCGCCAAATCAATCAATCGCTTCGTGCGTCAAGCGGTTCCAACTTCTTTATAAATGAGAAACAAAGAGAGTGGGATAGACTTACGGTTGACGCCGAGGGAAACAGGATACTCCCGGTGTGGTGCTGTAAAGCTTGGAAGGCAGTTCAGATATTCACCAGTTGATTATACCACCCTGGGAGGGATGGGAGGAAGAAGAAGCGCACCCGTTTGCCCCACGCCCTGCATTCAATCCTCGAGAGGACGCTAACTCGACAACTGACAAATTAGCCAGGCGCACCGACGACACTTGTAAAATGGCACAACAAGGAGACTGGGCGCTTCTGTATACCGCTTTTCCAGTTTGAGTTTGATGGGAAGAGGCGTACAATCGACGAGGGGTCGGCATCACTCGAGGAGAAAAAAAAATCTGAATGGAATTTCACCCGGGAAATTGAATTATCTTGCCCAATTGTTTTTTAGGGCGATATATCTTGACAAGATGAATAAAATCCATTGGAAATTCTTCAATGAAGACAATTTCAAGATATTTTAAAACATTAAGATTATCTTGAAATAAACATGTCTTCATTCACTCTCTCAGCTGATTTTAAGATCGCTAGATTTTTCTCCTAAGATAATATTAATCTTAAATTGTATTTATAAGTGACTCAGTGATTACTCCGCGGTGTCTTTGAAACCCTAGGAACGAAGTGAAAATAAAACACAAATATACAGTTCATATTGAATCCACACCCTATTAGACGTATCACCTACAGTTGTTTCATATCCCGTCATTTCCCCCTAAACTCGAAGCGGATTTTCGGGGCTTTGTAGTCATTCATTTCCACCTCGAAAATCCCTCATTTCTCCTTCATGTACATTATTTAAATAAACAAGGCGCCCAAAGAGATTGCTCTTCTTCTCTCGTTTCTCAACCCCAACAGTGGGTTTGTTCTCGCTACTCAATGGCTTCCACCAGTGACGAACAATTATCCCCACCCGGAGATTAAACGAGTGACAGGGAAACCCGTCGAGAGGAAGGGAGAAGAGTTCTCTTGCTTCGCGTTTCGCCTTCCTCTTGTAATGAATTTTAAATTGGCTCGCATTCATAATGCGCTGTGTTGACAGTCCGGATGAGACGGAGATGACGCGGTAAAACGTCTTGGTGAATAATATTTCTTCAAAGTGAGGGCTGAAACAACTGAGGGAATAGGAAATTTGCATGATTTATTTTTTTTCAACTTCAAGTTCATGACCTCAATAAGACATTTTACATTCGAAACCTCTAGGTGCTTCATTTCGAGACTTTAAAAATACATGAACGTCTGGACAGCATCTATGATAAATTTTCTCTTATCAATTTCGGCCACTTTAGAGATACCGATGCACTCAGGGATTATTAATAAAAATTTTATTTTCGCTCTTGAGGTTTGAAGGACAAGGGAACACTCGAGCTGTTGAAACTATCTTCATCATAGCTCTTGGAATTGTTCATCAGACTTTTCTACTCTCCCCTTTGCTCTATGACATCACAAACCGAATGGAATTGCAACAATAAGTTTGATTCAGAGGAATGAATGCATGCCCTTGGTCGGAGGTCGTAAAATAACGCCGGCGCAGAATGAAAAAATATACCTTCGATATTGGCAGATGGAAAAAAATATTCGCGCAGTTTTGTGGTTCATACTCACCTTTAACCATAGGAAATAGTTTCAGTCGCCATACACAACGGATGGCAAGGATACCCGAGTCGAATAATTGGACCTGATAAATTCTACTTAGGTCTCTCCGTTCAGAACTGGATAGGTCTTGGGAAGCCTATTCCCAAGTGCTTCCGAGACCTTTCTACCTCTGGTTATGTCCCACTTCAGCACTTGTTAGGTGTAAGCAGGACTTGCATTCAGACTTTCCAAATCCTTGCCGGTCCCCGTAATTCTATGGGCCTATATTAAATCTGCGTT